CGGGTGGCATGGTGGACTGGGATCAGGAGGCGGGAGGCAGTGGGTTTGCAGTGCTGCAATGACTCGGGGCTATTTGGGCCAACACTGGAGGGGGGGGTGTCACAGTGCAGGGGTCTGGCTGGGAAGAGAGATGGGGCGGGGGTGCTGCAGCCCTGGCAGGCTGCATGAGGTTGGGGAAGGGCGGGCACATGTTTGGAGGGGTGTCACAGTGGTGGTGGTGCCAGGGGTCAGGGTGGTGCCATGCAGGTGTGGCTGCAGGTGGGGTGTCCCTGGGCTGGCCAGGGGGGCTGTGCTGCTCAGAGGGGTGTCCTGCAACACTGCCCTGCCCTGCAGCAGGTAAGTGGGTGGTGGTCCCGGGGCAGGGGGGAAGCTGTTCCAGGCACATCTCTTTCCTGGGGGGACCATGCAGGGCAGAGACCCCCACCCAGGAGGGGTCAGCAGGGGAGGAATTGGAGGGGCTTGCAGGAACCCCAGCTTGCCTCCTGCATGATCTGCATCTCCCCGCACCCTGCTGCTCCTTGAAACCCCCCCAGCTTGCCCAGCCCCCTCCACACCGTGTGCTTGAGACGGAGCTGAGCCCGCGTGCTGGGGGCAAGCAGAGGGGACGAGCAAAAGGGTTTGGGGGCCTCTCCGGTGCCAGTGCCAGTGCTGGCGCTGAGGCAGCTCCAGCGGCATTGCTGGGGGCAAACGGTGTGGCCAGTCCTGGCAGTGGGGATGGGGGAGGTGGGGGCCTGTGCCCACCGCACCCAGTGCTGTGGTCCCTCTCCATGCGGATGGTGGGGAGAGAGTTGGCGGGGGGCTGCCCCCCAAGTCTCGAGCTGGCCTAGCAGGCGAAGTCCTCGAAGACGCCCTGGTGAGGGTAGTGGTGGCGGTGGTGGTGGTTGGGCAGTATGCCTGCGTTGTAGGCGCCCTCCACATGCCGGCCCAGGGTTTCACAGGGGCTCTGCAAGGATGGCAGTCAGAGGGGTGGGCGCAGGCCCCATGCACCCTGTCCCTCTCACCCCCCTGCCCAGCACAGCCTGTCCCCAGGACCACACCCCACCCACCCCACCCAGGGAGCACCCAACTTCCTTGCCACCCATCCTGAGGGCACCAAACATGGAGCTGTGCTGCCTGGGATGAGGTCCCTTCCCCCAGGGGCAGGGGTGGATGCTGCCCAGGCTCTGTCCTCGCAGCCCTCGGGCAGCCCACCCTCACGAGGGTACCTGGTCCTTCAGCTCCTCCAGTCCCAGTGTGGCAATGCTGCCCGAGGGCTTCTTCAGGGGCGGCTTGGAGCGGCGCAGGACACGGCTCAACTTGTCCCGGATCACCTGGGTACAGATGGGGGGGTCAGCCCCAGACTAACATGCAGGCACACCCCGTGTGTGGGCACCCCGATCTGCATGGACCTGCCTCCAGCCCCCCTGCCTGCCTGGGGGACGCAGATCTGACAGTGGGGACAGCACCTCTGCTTGCCACCCTCCCGGTTCTCAGGTCACCAAGGGATGCTGGGAGGACCCATCCTCCTCCCACTGCCTCCTGCTGGCGTTCTCCAATTTGGGGGCTGTAATAGCCCTCTGGGGTGGCCATGCACAGCACGCCCTCCCCAGCGGGCCTAGCTCCCGCTCTGCACCTCACCCGTTCCCACTGTCAAGACAGCTTTGAAGGCTGAGCACACCTCGTAGACATAGTCCAGGATCTCCAGGATGGTGAGGATGCTGGCACCGATGAACAGGCCCATCTGCCCCCCGATGTCCCCTGGGGAGAATGAGGGGGAGACCGTCACTGGGAGATGCTGTGCAGCCTTCTGGGAGCCTGGGGTGGGCCAGCAGGGCTGCGGGCAGTGACAGGCCTACTGGACAGAGGGGGACAGGGCAGTCATGGGGGCAGGGGCAGCAGGACAGAGGAAGCAGGGGACACAGGGGACAGGGGATAGCCAGCTGCATGCCGCCCTTTAGCCAGTCTGTGGCTGGCTCCTGCTCTGTGTGGTCCCTCCCCGACCAGCCCCACATCCTCCCAGGGCTGGGACCCAGAGCTCCACGCCTCAGGGTCCCACAGGGAGGTGGGAGAAGTCACCGAGAAGCCCAGCGAGGTCGTAGGCTTTCTTCTGCTCAATGGCCTCGTAGTTGAGTGCCTCAAAGAAGATGTCCAGCACCAGGAAGTTCTCCCTGTGGGGCAACACCATAGTGATAAGGAGGGCTGGTCACTGGCTCTCCCACCCCCACTGCTCCCCAAGCCTCCCCTGTACACCATCCCTCCACTCCCAGGTACTTCCAGCACCCTCATGAGTTATTCAGGCTAGTGTGGTGGTGAATGGAAGGGTCATGCCTCAGGCCAGGAGGGACCATGGGGTGGGGAGATGCCGGGAGGACACAGATGGGTCAGGGAGATGCTCTAGTGGAAGCCACCCCTGGGCAGAGGATGCTGCAGGGACCACGTGTGCCAGGACCCGCTCCCTGCATGCTGCCAGAAATGGAGTGTGGACCCCAGGTCCCCAGCCCCCTGCCCACCCTCCAGCGACACCCCAGCATGGGCAACTCACCGGATGTAGGTCTCATTCTTGTTGTACTTGCGGGCCAGGTAGCGTGCTGAGCCCTTGTTGGGGATGCGCACCATGGAGATCTCCTTGCCATAGCGCGTCAGATTGCACGGCGTGGGGCAGCTGCAGCGGTCCTGGCTGTCCTCCACTGCTGCATCTGGGGGCATGCACCCGTCAGTATGGCTGCACCCTCTCCGGCCCTCTCCGTGGTGGCTCCCGGCTGGGCCCCAGCCTCCCACCCACTGCCGCACCTACCCAGCGTGTGGTCAGCACACTCGATGTACACATTGGGGGAGCAGATGGACTCATTGCCTGTGGAAAAGCAACTGGTCAGGGCTTGGGAGTCTGACCCACTTCTAACCCTCACCCTCAACTCACTTCCCCAAAGGCACTGGGGCAGAGGTGGGGGCCTTGGGTGTGGAGGGAATGGGGATGGTGGCCCTCAGCTGCAGGTTGGCTGGGGCAGGGGTGGCCCCTGAGTAAAAGGCAGACAGGGAAGGGGCTGATCTGGGATGTAAGGAGAGTAGGACAGATGCTGACCTGGGGTGTGGAGAGGATGGGGTGGTCCCTGGGTGAAGAGGGAAGAGGCAGAGCGGACCCTTGGGTGCAAAGGGATGGGCAGGGGGAACCTATGGGTGCAGAGGGATGGGGCAGGGATGATCTTTGGGTGCAGGCTGTAGGGGGACAAGGCAGCCCTGGGCATAACTGTTAGGGCAGGGGGGTGCCCCCATGCCATCCTGCACACCCCTCACCTGGCATGTGGACCATGCGGCAGTGGCAGCTCCGCACCACGGCCTCCTTCTCGCACTGCAGGCGGCAAGCGGCGATGCTGTAGGTGTCATAGCCAGGAAGCGTCTTCTCCCCCTGCACGCTAGCCCTGCAGTTCCCCCATGGCTGCGGCAGGTAGGTGAGCTGTCGGGGTGAGAGGGGCATCGCTGCAGGGCCACAACAGGCTGGGTACCTGCGGGCACCTCCCCAGGGGCTGTGGGGCATCCTGCCTTACCCGCTGCTCCTGGCAGGACACAAAGGTCTGGAAACCAGGTGAGACACCAAAGCCCAGCTGATGGATGTAGGGTGGCTCGTCCTGGCTGTGGATCTGGACCCGAATGCCAGCTTCAAATGATGTCTCATCTGCGGGAGAAGGACAGAAGGTCTGTACACCTGCACCCACCCAGCACCTGCACCCTGGGGCCCAGCACCACTCCAGTGCCCCACTTCCCTCATATCCCTCCCCAGGATGCCCTGTTTGCCCAGCAGCCATCTGTCCCAGCACCCCTGGCCCATGCCCTGCCCGCACCACAGCCCCACTCACTGGTCTCTCTCCAAATGGGCAGGTACTCTTCCTGCTGGATGTCCAGCATGATCTCGAGCCCGTTGCCCATGCCACCCTGGCGGGTCACTCGTGGGTTCCGCCGGTCCCCGTTGAAGGTGTAACACTTACCATAGCGTGTGTAGACCTGGGAATGGAGAAAGGGGTGGTGATGGAGCAGGCATTCTGCAAGCCCGGTGAGGTCCAGGGACCCTTTCCAACCCCATGGTGGTGCTGGAAGGGGGCAACAGTCTTGCGTGGCCCTTGAAAGGGCTCATCTAAGCCTCTCACTGCCACCCCTCTGCCCTTGCTGTGGAGGGGTGAAGCATCACTCCCAGCCTCCATGGGGCAGTCATGCCAGGCAGGGACTCACGGGGGCGAAGTGCTGGGGGCCACAGCGCTCTCCCCCAAAGCGGCACTCCACCAGCATGTCCTCGATCTGGTGGCCCAGGCGGTGGAAGAAGCTCTGCATGGTGTGCTCGGAGCGGCGAGGTGGCAAGAAGCGCGAGTAGTTGGCGAGACGCATCAGCCACGCGCGCCGGTCCTCCCCCAGCACGGCCAGCATCTCGGGCACCAGCGAGTGGTTCTCCTGGGCCAGCCCCAACCACTGCCCCACTGAGTAGAGGTCGGGCTTGGTGAGGTGCAGGAAGCGTGCCCGGTTGGGGTTGCAGAGGGTGACGGCCGGGAAGTGGAGCTGCGGGGCCTGGGCGAGGCGTGCCCGGGTGTGCACGGGGTGCGAGAGCAGGTGGTGCAGGCGGTCGGCGGTGCCCGTGGCCAGCAGCCCAGCGGAGGCCAGGAAGGCCAGGCTCCAGAGCAGGCGGCGCAGGCGGGACTGTGGTCGGGTGCACATGTAGTGCAGCCCTGGGATCCTGGTGGCTCGCAGGACGCCGATGGTGAGCTGGGCAGCACTGCCATCCCGAGCTGCTGTCAGGGCTTCCCCGTCCCGGCAGCAGGCAAGGGGCAGCGGCATGGCTGCAGGCAGGGCGGCTTCTCTGGAAAGTGGGGTGCAGGCTGCCCCTGGGGTCCCCGGTCCCCTCCAGGGACCTCTCCCTCCCGGGAGGCTTTTGCTCTGCGCCTTGCCAGAGGCGGATGTGGCAGGCGCCTTCCCGAGCTGCTCCAGTGACGGGCGAGGGGAGGGAGAGAAGGGGGCTGCTGCAAACACACGCCTTCCCCCACCCTCCATTCGGGAATGGAAAATTCCTCCCCGAGTCAGGCTGGGACAGGGGGGGGGGTGTTGCATTACCCCAGCCAGGGTGAACGGGCAGCCCCAGTGTCCCAGTATGGTGGGTACCAGTGTCCAGATGGCGATGCCCAGTCCCAGTCACCCTGTGTGAGTCCCATATCCAGGGATGCTGGACCCCAGATTGTCCCCAGCCCTGGCACTTCTGTCCCCCCTGGGTCCCCACTGGATCCCTGGGGTCCCCAACCGCAGCTGCTCTGGGGATGGGGGTCTTGCCCCACAGAAGCAGAACAGTGCCAAGCCTGGGGGGCCACTGCCTCCTGCTCGGGACCACACGTACCTTGATCCTCGATGCTGTCCCCTGGCATCCCCCGCGCTGGAGCTGGGGACCCCAGTGGATCTGGGCGCTGTGGGGCGGGAGAAGCGGGGCTGGGGGCGGGGGGGAGGCTGCGTGGG